CCACACTGGAGTGACTTCTTGGCTGGGGCAAGAATCAGCCTAAGATACGTTGAGCCTCCTTTCTAAGATTGGCTTGACCTGGCCAGCTGCCTGGGACTGAATCTGGGCCACCCTTACCCTTCAGGTCTCTCAACAGCTCACAGCCCACCTGAACCTCACCACGTGTCAGTGTGGAGCTTCCCAACTCTCTCCGCCCACCCCTCAGATGTGACAAGGGGCTTGTCTCCAGTCTTCCCTCTTTCAAATGTTGATTTGAAATAAAATTTATGTCTCTGCATTTAAAAAATTCATATTCTTTATGGAGGAATGTGGAAAATTATGAATAAACACAGAGAAGAAAATAGAAACCTTGGGTAAGCCCACTCCCATTCTTAATGATTTTAGTCTTTTCATTATAAGATGTCTTCATGTGTAAGCTCCTTTTGGGAGGGAGGCTTGGGGACATGATGAGGGCAGAGAAGGTCTTCTCTGTGGGGGTGCAGCACTTAGTCTCTGGATGGTTCCTGGGGCTCGGGTTGCTAGCAGCTTCCTTCTCAGCATAGAGAAATCTTCCACTCCCATGGGTGGCAGTTTCTCAGTGATGGAAATCAGTGTGTGACTGTGCATGTGACCTGTGGCAGTGTGCGACTGAGTATATGACTGGTGCCACAGTGTGTGATCTGTGTCAAAATGTGTCAGTGTGTGTGTGATCTGTGTCAGTGTGTGCCTGTATGGGATCTGTGTCAGTGTGTGGCTGTGTATGTGACCGGTGTCAGTGTGTGTCAGTGTGTGTGTGACAGGTGTCAGTGTGTGCCTGTGTGGGATCTGTGTCAGTGTGTGTCAGTGTGTGGCTGTGTATGTGACCGGTGTCAGTGTGTGTCAGTGTGTGTGTGACTGGTGTCAGTGTGTGCCTTTGTGTCTGTGATGGTACCATTTTGGGGCTGTGACTCTGTGACTTGAGTCAGTGTCTGTGGAAGACTCTTCAGGAGAAGAGGAACACTCAGAATTTAACCAAAAGCAGCTTCCTGTGTGTCCCTGTTAAAGGCACAGTATGGCAGTTGTCTTCCCTTGTTCTTCACCTGGCTAGAGGCCAGTTGGGGGCCTAGGGTGTGTAGTGCTAGCTTTCAGAATTCCGTGTCAGTTGGCATCTGTGGTCTGTTTCAGAGTCATTTCAGTATCTTCTACCTACTGCTTTGACACTGCCCTCCTCCCCCACCCCCAAGTCAGAACTAAGGAGAAAGTGACAGCTGTATGTAACAGGTGAGTGGAAGTTACTGGAAGGTTCTAGTTCCACTTCTGCATGTGCCATCTTGAACCAGTTCTTCTCAGAACTTGGAAAGTGGGACTGAGTAATGCCCACCCCTCAGGGCATCATGAGGATGGTGGGGCAGCCTGATAAAGTGCTGGCAAAGTGAAGTTCCTTTTGCCTCAGAGCAGGACTGGGAAGCACAAGAGAAAGATGTGTTTAAGGGACTGGATAGTGCTGGCGTCAGCACTGGGAAGTTGGCTGGGGAGAATTGGATGGTGCTATCTGTTGCTATGTTGGTCTCTGTATATGGACTCCAGACTGCCCGTGGTTAGCAGACAGGAAGATTCCTGACCATGCTCAGAATGCCAGGACAACAGCTCAAAGCTTATTTACAAGGCAGTGCTGGGGCTGGGCCTCTACAGAACTATGTAACCTGGGCAGCATCCTACTATGTATGCCGTTGTTACTAGTCTACAGCTGCAGAAAACGGATTGTTCTGGGCTGGAGTCAGGGGCTCTGACTTCAAGTCTACTGACTCAGTGTCCCAGGCATGTCAGTGTTTCCTTGAATGGGCTCCGTGTGTGTTCTGTGAGCTGCTCGCCTTCCTCTTGGGCCTTGCTCTGTCCTATTCATTTGTCACATCAAGTTGTTTCTAGTGCCAGGGTGTGGTGAGCACAGCTGGACAGGGCGACAGGACCCAGAGTGACTGGACTCAGAATGTTGTTGTTGTTAGGTGCCATCGAGTTGGTACCGACTCATAGCAACCTTATACACAGCAGAACGAAACACTGCCTGATCCTGGGCCAACCTCACTACTGTTGCCGTGCTTGAGTCTATTGACGCTGTCACTTGACCAATCCATCTCATTGGGGGGTGGGTGGGGAGGTCTTCCTCTTTTTCTCTGACCCTCCATCTTACCAAACATGATATCGTTCTCCAGTGACTGGTCCCTCCTGACAATATGTCTGAAGTATGAGAGACAAAGTTGGCTATCTTGGCCTCCAAGGAGCACTCTGGCTGCACTTCTTCCAACACGGATCTGTTGGCTCTTTTGGCAGGCCATGGCACTTTCAATATTCTCCTCCAACACCATAACTCAAATGCGTCAATTCTTCCATGGTCTTCCTTATTTACTGTCCAGCTTTCGCATGCATGTGAGATTATTGAAAATACCATGGCTTGGGTCAGGTGCACCTTAGTCCTTCCTCAAGCTGATGACATCTTTGCTCTTCTAAAGGTCTTGTGCAGCAGATTTGACTAATACAGACTAGACCCGTGATATTCCCCTCCCTACAACCTGTCTCTCTGTGTCCCCATTTTGGAAATGGCATCTTTGTTCACTCAGGTGCTCAGGCTCGAACCTAGGTGCTACCTTTGACTCCCTTTTCTAGTGCTTTACTTCTAATGATTTACTGCCTAATAAATCCAGACTGAAAACCTCCTGTATCAGTGGTTCAACCATCATTGGAGGTGTCTGTATTCTGACTACCTCTCCACCCCAGCTTTCCCTTATGTGGAAGAGACCAGATTTTCTCTCTTCAAAATCCAGTATGGGCTTCACTGTCTGCCATGACTGCAGGGCCTTATAGCCCTGGCGGCCCCTTGACTCCTCCCCTCCCTGTAGTCAATAAACTCCTGCCACTGGTCACTGTGGATGCCCCATTGTTTCTGGAACAAGTGAGCTCTGTTCCTTCCTCTCTTTACTTTTCTTCATGGCACCCATCACCCCTGATTTTGTATCATGGATGTCTCAATAGACTTGGCTCCCAAGAGCCTCCCTTTAGCATGTGCCTTCCTGGAGGCAGGGTCTTGCTGGTTTACTCCTGTGGACCCATTAGGGTGTACTATAGCTCCTGATGGACTCTTGGCTAATATGTGATTACATGAGTGAGGGAACCAGGGTTTCTGGGGTTCCTTGTGCTGGTGTTTCAGAGTGATCTGCCACTTAGCTCTTAAGTGGACCATACAGAACTGCTGGCTGGCTCAGAACCAGGTCATCTCTCCTAGGCCCCATTCAACTCATCAGACCTTGTATAATCTGCTTTCCAAACTGATTCTTTCAGAGGTTCTGAAACCTCTCCAGTTCCCTGTATTCACAGGAGCTCAGTTATTGTGCATGGCACTCCAGTTGCTGTTGAGTCAACTCCAACTCCTGGTGGCCCCACATGTGTTAGCGTAGGACTGTGCTTCATTGGCTGATTTTTTGCAAGCTAATCGCCAGGCCTTTCTTCTTAGTGCCTCTGTGTGGACTCAAACCTCCAACCTATTGGGCTAGTGCTTTAATCATCTTCACCATGCAATTACTCCCCATGACACTCCTGTTTTTAAGTGCCGTCGACTTGGTTCTAACTCAGAGTGGCCCTGTATAGGCTTTCCAAGGAGTGACTGGTAGATTTAAACTTCCAACCTTGTGGTTCGCAGTCCAGTGCTGATTCTACAGCACCACAACATTCTTGCTGTTAAGTGCTGTTGAGTCGGTTATGATCCATAGCAACCCTATATAGGGTTTCTGAGGAGCAGCTGCTGAGTTTGAACCACAAACCTTGCGGTTCAAACTGACTTTGCAGGACAGCACATTCACCCTCAGTGCCAGGACTCCGCAACACTCTTAGGAAATATCTAATACTTCATGAAACAATTGAGTCCAAACAACTCAATCTCTATTGATATCTTAACAGCTTAGTGGTGGTGGTGGTTATGTGCTGTGGAGTCGGTTCCGACTCATAGTGACCCTGTACAGGGTTTCCGAGGCTGTACATCTTTATGGGAGTAGAAAGCCTCATCGTTCTCCCGTGGAACAACGGTAGTTTTGAACTGCTGACCCTGAGGTTCGCAGCCCGATTTGTAACAGTTTAGTAGTCATTTGAAAAATAATATTTATAATTGAAAATGAAATAGTATTTTTATTTATTTCTTAAATAACTCTGCTTTCTGGTAGGAGGTGTGTGCCTTCTGTAGCCTTAGAATCCTGTTGGACATCACCACCCTTGTTCTATGTGCCATGAGAATGTCTGTGTAGTGCTGGCCAAATTTTAAAAAAATCAAGCTTTACAAAGATCTGACAAGGCTGAAGGAATGGTGTGTAACCTAATGCTGAAGGTGTGAATGCCCTTAACTTAGTAGTTTGTATGGCATTGTGACTTGAAAATGTAAACTATTCCCTCAATGTCCCTGGGAGATTTTAGGGGTGCCATGGCACATGTGGTGGCACTGTAGGATAAAGCACTAGACCACAAGGTCAGTTTGAATCTCAAGGTTGGTGGTTCAAACCCACCAGTAGCTTCTCAGAAACCCTATACAGGGTCCTTTTGAGTCGGAACTGACTCAACAGCACTTTACAACAACACTCCTGGTATTACATTCCTGGTGTGGCACTGTAGGATACACATTCAACTGCAAACTACAAGGTCAGCAGTTCAAATCCACCAGTCACTCCTTAGAAACCCTGTACAGGGGCACTATGAGTCAGAACCCACTTGACAGTATTGAGTAACATAGAAGTAATAGGCCAGTCTCGACGAAGTCAAGGAATTGGGCCAAGGCTATACTGTTTAAATGAGGGAGCCAGGTCACACTCTGGTGCCCTGGGATTATTAATTGGATCTCTTGAGGTGTGCATCTTTGGGGTCTTGGACACTTGTTAGAGCTCCCATTAATAACTGGAACCTGTCAGAAGAAATCTGCCCTCCCTTCAGGCCCCCAAGCCCAGCCCTCCCTACCCTAAGCTTCAGTCTGGAGATGGTGCTAGAGTCTGCTGTTTTTCCTTTTCCAGGGAGCCCGCTGTGCTCTTGCTGTGTCCCGGACCCCATGGGACTGTCCTTTCTCCCCACCTATGGCTGCCAGAGTAACCGCACAGCCAGCGTGGCTGCGCTGCGGATGAAGGCCCGGGAGCATTCTGAAGCCGTCCTGCAGTCAGCCAACCTCTTGCCACCCACCAGCAGCAGCCCCAGCCCCACAGCCAAGCAGGCAGCCCCGGATGGCAACCAGGACAAGATCCCTCCTGCCAAGGAACAGAGCGAGGGTGAGAAGAGTGGGTGAGGCCCAAGGTGTTTGAGCCCAGTGTGCCCTCCCCTGCTTCTCCTAGCCTCAGCCCCTGCATAAAACTCTCAGACTAGCAAGGAGGAGCCGCTGCCCCCAGGGCCATCCTCATGGACTTGGAAAAGAAAAAAGAAACAAACAGCTCCCCTGATACGTGACCCAGTCCCTCTGGAATCCTGCCAGCAGCACTGTGCTCCCCTGGTTTCTTGGCTGATAGCCTGTATCTTTGCAGGGCTACCTTAGTGGCACTCACTCAGTGGTATCTGAGCCCACTCTGCTGTGACCACTGGTTCTGCCATTTAGACCTAGAGGTCTTGGAGGAAGGTGTATTTGCTTACCCCACCTCCCTTTTGTCCCTATCTTGGGCTTCTCTTTAAAGGTCTTGTCAACCCAAACAGCTGTGGCGTGGACCAACCTTGGGACGTTCTCACACTATGAAATGGGACTGGCCTGGTTACATCGTTAAGGACCAGGACACTGGTGTCATCCCAGCCAAGTCTTGTTCTCCTCCACCCAGAGGAAAAGTGACGTCCTTCTTTCTCTCCTGTTGAGCGATGTTGGTTGTGGTTTGGTTTGAAGGCAGCCTGAGAAGCTGTGGGTGGGGTGGGAACTGACAGGACCCAGCATGTCCCTGGGGTACACAGTGGCCTAGCCCCTAGGATTTTCCACTGACATGTCTGGGTAGGGCAGCTGGACCAACCAGACAGGTCATTCTTCCGTGAACAGGGGTCATGCGTTTGACACAGTGGCCACTACAGCAGAAGCGCTCACCTCCAGACCATGACTTGGATTGACCTTTAGGTCAGTGGGAAGTTGACCAACTTGAACGTAGCTCCTTTCTGTCTAGGGAAGACTGAGACTCACTGTGGGGAGAAGCCCTCCAGGACTTCTGGACTCATGCATCTAGACGGACTGCCTTTTCTCAGGTCCCTGGCATGGAGAGGGAGCTCTTCAATGGTGTCTTTGCTGGAAAAAAGAGTAGTAAAATGAGAGGCGCATGGTGTATCTGCCGAAATACAGAATGGGGAAAAGAATGCCTTGCGTTATAAAGAGAATTCCAAAGGCCAACTTTCATAGATTGCTGTTTTGGTCTAGTATGCCTGTCTTCACTCTGTGGATAGTAAACTCGAAGAGATCGAAGGGAAAAGTGCAATAGGGTAAGCGCCACCACTCCCTAGCAAGAGGCCTCATACCTGGACAGTGGCAGTCTTTGGGTTATGGACAGTGTTTCCATGCAACTCTCATTTCATTTCTTATAGTTAAAAGATTCTACTTTCAGATCCTTGGTGGTGGTGGTGGTGGTGGTTATGTGCCGTGGAGTCAGTTCCAACTCATAGCGACCCTGTACAGGGCTTCCGAGGCTGTAAATCTTTATGGGAGCAGAAAGCCTCATCTTTCTCCTGTGGAACAGCTGTTAGTTTCGAACTACTGACCTTAAGGTTCGCAGCCCGATTCGTAACCACTACGCTGCCAGAGTTCCTAGCCCTCTTTTAATCCTCCCTCCTGAAATCCACCCCCCAACAATACTCCTAAGTGTATTATGCCTCATCTCTGAGTACTACAAAACATTTGATAAAATACATCGTCTCCTTTAAAAAAAAATCAAACACTCCTTCCTGCTGTATTTTGCTTGTGGAGAACAACGATGAAACGATTTGCCAAAAAGCAGCAAAATCTCTTCCGTTTCCCTGTAATTACGAATGTTTGGTTGAACGATGTAAGCTCAAGCCCTTCTGTACACTAGCTCTTCAATCTAATTGTTTGATTAAACTCGTATTTCCTCCAGAAAGGTACATAAATAAGTGAACTGTTGAGCAAATTAAGAATACTTAACAGCATTGCATCTGAAAAGTAGTTATGCTGATTAAATTTTGTGTCCTTGAGGACTTTCAGGAAATTACTTTTGATCGTCAATAACACAATTAAGTAAACTACACACACATTAGCATGAATAATTGATAAGAAATTATGTATTACCACGAAGCACTGATTTAATAATTCATGACGCGACACTCTAGTGACTGTGCAAAACTGAATAACATCGAAAAGTCTGCCTGATGTTGCTGAAAGAAAAAGAAAAAAAGCACCAAACCTTTGCAGAGATATCGAGTTCTTAGTTTTGTTGTACAAATGCAAACGTAACTGATGCATGATGTAGTTTCTGTTTGTTTAAATACCCAAATAAATTTAGAAGGTTATAAAGAAATACATGGAGTTCAGGGTCTCTCTTTGTTCTTCCTGGTCCTGAGGCTACGGTGCTGGGAGAAATCTACGACCTCTAATCCTCGAGTTTGGCCAGGATATGAATGGAAACCTTTTGGAAACATCCAGGAGGAAGACTCAGAAGCCTTAGCAGATGCTGGGACAAGTCAGGCATCCCTGTGCAGGCTCTCCTTGGCACTGGTACCTGCAGGAGTCAGAACTTCTGTCCTGGGACATACACACCTGACCCTACTAATCCCCTTTAGAGGCCTTGGGGAAACCCCTCTTGGGCAGAGCCAGTCCTCAGTTTACACTACCCTCCTTGGAACCTGTAGGTTGCCTGTGTGCAGAAGTTCATAATGTGACCATGGGAAGCTTAGTCTGTGAAGGATGCTCAGGCCCCAGGGGTTGATTGATTGATTAATTATTATTATTCATTTATTAGTTGAAGCACTCTGAAGACTTTCTTCAATGCATGCCAAGTTATGGGAAAGAAGAGAAAATACTGACGCCATAACTGGGGCAGTAGTCAAGTTCTGGGCTGAAGGAGGAGCTACAAGGGTGCCTAGAGCCAGAGGGGTGGCATTGGTATTGGGGGATTTCAGAGGCCTCCTTCTCCATCCCAACTGGGGTTAAAAAAAAAAAAATCCCAGCACCTGACCTCTCAATTCAGGAACGTTGGTGGCACTGTAGGATAAGTATTAGACTACTAACTGCAAGCTCAGCAGTTCAAACCCACCAGCTGCTCCTTAGGAGAAAGATGAGACGTTTTGCTCCCATAAAGATTTACAACCTCAGAAACCCTATGAAGGGTTACAGTGAGTCCAAATAGACTTGCTAGCAATAGGCTTTTGGTTTAGCTTGGCCACTCAGTTGAGTACAAGAACATCTCAATAGATGATCCCCATACAAGAAGACTGATGCCCTTGTTGTTGTAAAGTGCCATTGAGTTGTTTCTGATTCACAGCTAGGAGTGGCTGGTGGGTTTGAACTGTCAAACTTATGGTGAGCAGTCCAGTGCTTATCCTACTGTGCCACACCGGGACTGATATCCTTGGGTAGCACAAATGGTTAATATAGTTAGCTGCTGACTCAAAAATTGGTAGTTGGAGCCCACTCAGGGCTGGCAATCTACTTCTGAAAACTCAGCCATTGAAAACTCTATAGAACCCAGTTCTACTCTGAGACATATGGAGCCGCCATGAGTCAGAATTTACTTGATGCCAACTGGTACTGCTGTTGTTATTGTAAAGTGCTGTTGACTTGGTTCCTGTTTATAGTGACCCTGTATAGGTTTTCTGAGACTGTAAATTTCTGTGGGAATAGAAAACCTTGTCTCTCTTCTACAGTGTGGCTGGTGGGCTCGAGCCACTAACCTTGTGGTTTGCAGTCAGTGCTTATCCTACAGAACCACTGTGCTCCTGGTTCTGGTACTAGTACAGGTATACACGAAAACTACTACTGTTTTGTTACCTTGGACTTTTATGTATGTTAACTCATTCATTCTCAATGTTCATCTCACAAGGTAAGAATTACTATGTCAATTTTGTAGATAAAGTACACTAAAATAGGACAAGTTCTCTGCTTTAAAGAGGCACACAGCAGCCTCTTCCTTTCAGATCTTACAAAGCCACTTAAGTTTTAGGTCCCTTCAGAAACTTACTGTGGTTTTAGAAACTTCATTCCAGGCCCCTGGGAGAGTGAATCTGATTATTCCAAGTTGAGTCCAAATCATCTATGGCCAATTGTAGCAGTCCTGGTTCCGACCTGTATGGGTCACACAGTTCTGAGAGCTGCGTACATTTCTTGTAGTCTCTGTCTTTAAGGAATGTAAATCCCATAACTGGTGTTTTAGTTATCTAGTGCTACTGTAACTGAAATGCCACAAACAAAATTGCTTCAATTTAGGAACTCAGCTTTGGACAAAGGTTTTCTTTCTCTGTCAACTCTACATCTTTTGGTCTAGGGCATTCACAGCACAGGAACCCTGGGTCCAAATGGTGCACTCTGCTCCCGGCTCTCCTTTCTTGTGATATTGAAGTCCCACTCTTTTTGCTCCTTTTATCTCATGTAAAGTAAAATGTGATGCAGGCCAGACCCTCGGGAAACTCCTCTGACATTGGATCAGGGCTGTGACCTTATTAAGGGTGTTGCATCCCACCCTAATCCCCGTACATCAGGTCAGGGTTGACCATATGGAAGTACATCATGGGGGATGGCTACATCATCACATAACCACCAAACCATTGAGAATCATGGCCCAGCCAAGGCGACACATGTTGTTGTTATTATTATTAGGTGTTGTTGTTTAAGTTCTGATTCATAGCAACAAAATGAAACATGGCATGGTCCTATGCCATCCTCAAAATTGTTATGTTTGAGCCCATTGCTGCAGCCTCGGTGTCAATCCATGTTGTTGGGGGGGTCTTCCTCTTGGCTGACCCTCTACTTTACCAAGCATGATGTTCTTTCCCAGCGATTGGTCCTTCCTGACAACATGCACAAAGTATGTGAGATGAAGTAGGCCTCTCCTCCCAGAAAGCACTCCATCCACATCTCTGACCTTTCTTCTGAAGTTCAGGGTACTAGGATTTTCATCTGTGTCTGCTTTATTTTGTCTCTCATATGTTTGTTGTAGAGGGTCCATGTAGTGCATCTGCCTAATCTACCATCTTGTTGGAAGTCTCTTTCCTGTCTTTTTAATAACCTTTTGCTTTCTTATTGTTCTTGATGTCAGTCCACAACTCCTTTGGTCTTTAGTTATTAGTGTTCAATGTATACAATCTGTTCTTAAGAAG